TATGATATCATTTATATGTGGAATCTAAAAAAGGATACACATGAACTTATTTTCAAAACAGAATCACAGACATAGAAAACAAATTTATGGTTACTGGAGGTGGGGAGAAAGAGGGGGAAGAGATAAATTGAGAATCTGAGGTTTACAGATACAAACTGCTATATATAAAATAAATAAACAACAAAGTCCTACTAAGATAACACAGGGAATTTTATTCAATATCTTTTAGTAACATATAATGAAAAAGAATATGAAAAGGAATATACGTATGTACGTGTATGGCTGAAACATGATCCTGTACACCAGAAGTTAGCGTAACATCATAAACTAAATCTACTTCAGTAAAAAAAAAAAATCACCCCTGCTTATAGGCTGGTTAGGAGATAAAGCTGGAAATTATCTAGCCATGGTCCAGAACATGGTGAAGTAAATGAACTGCCAGGAGAGAGCAAGTGGATATTTCTGGAAAATGAATTTTAACTGAAAGTCAGAAGTAGAACATTATGGTGCTTGAGAGAGAAGATGGATTAAGAATTCCAGAAAAAAAAAATACAGTGACAAGCAGTTATGTGCAAAAGTTAAGGTGAGAGGTAGAGTGGGAAACCAAACCTGAGATTTAACAAGCCTTCCTAACCTTTCTTACTTTTGAAATCATTCTATAAGTAGACATGTGATTTGGTCCGGCTTTTATTCACACAATTCCAGGCTTAGAATGTAGAGTAGTCTACCTGTTGGAGAGTATACAGTGAGGACGTAAATGTAAATGATGTAAATGAGAAATGTTAGTTGTGGTATAAGCACACGGTACTACACTGTTATAAATTTTATGTAGTGCCTAAGGCACTTTACGGAGGGGGCTGGCAGAGTCTTGAATTTTATTTTCCTCCGCTCCCTAAAGTTAGAAGATGTAGGTTTTAGAGATGGCCTCAAGGTGGCAGTAACTACACGTAATTGTTCCAAGTAACCCAAAGCCCTGTGATTTTTCTGATTCTGAGCCCGGAAGCTAGAAGCGTTGGTGAACACAGGTTGAAGATTTTTAGCAGCGTCTTTTATTTTTCACTCTCAGCTGAAAAATTCATTCTTTTCTCTGTCCAGGAAAGCACCAACTTTCCCCTACTGCAATCTTTCCTCCTCTTGCTGTTGTAATGATCCTAACATTTTATTTTATTAAGAAGCCAATTAATTTCCTATTTTATTTTAAAACTCCATCCTAGGTCTACTTTGGATGTAGCAAATTTATTCGTGCCCCAAGCTGCCCCTAATTATTCTGGTAGGAAACCATTTTTGTTTTGTTTCCTTGTAGGTTTCATCTTTCATCCTTTGTTGACGTTTCTTGGCATGTCTGCACACAGTGTTCTGTAATGTTCCCACGACCTCACCTCCCATGAAGTAGAGGAGTCTGGAGAAATCGTGAATGGAAACAGAGTAAATAATGAGTCCATAGGACAGGCTTTTACAGGAAGAGAGATGAAACAGTGTGAGCACTTATAGCCCTGGGAAAAGAAGCTGAAAGGGAATGTGACTGACATCTATAAGAGCCCTGTAAGATTTAAAAAGAAAGGTTGAAAATAATTAATGAAACAAATAAAAATCTGCACCTGATTATTAAGGAAAATGAAAGATGGTGATGGGTAGATACGCTGTTCCACAAATATTTCCTTGGTACCGTGATGTGTGCGATAATAAATGGCCAATGTGATGTTGTGGAATGGGGTGGTGGTGCCCTTGGCATCTCTTGAGTCTGTCCATAACTGAGCAGGACCCTGAGGGGCCTTCCTGGTCAGACCCCTCCCCCACATCCTCTGCCGTATCTCCTCCCTATAGTACCCAGACAACAGTATCTTACGTATATTTTCTGGGTTTTTCAGATGCTAAAACCACAATCAAAGGGGAGAGATTAAGTACTTGATGATGGAGAAGCGTGACCCCAGATCTTCTGGCGCCTAGGGGTTGGTAGTTTTGACAGCCCTGTTCCTTCAACAGAGAGGGAATTAGCCTTCATTAACCAATCAAAGGATTGTGCACAAGCTGATCATGTACCCTGTGACCGCTGTCCCTTACCTGGCCCTTAAATATGCTTTGTTGAAACCCTTTGGGGAGTTCGGGGTTTTCTAGGGCATGAGCCACCCTGTTTTCTTTGCTCAACCCTGCAGTAAAACTTCTTCTTCTCCAAACTCTGGCATTTCAGTTTGTTTGGCCTCCGGCTGTGTCAGGCACATGAACCTGCATTCATATGTTTTCTTTCCTATGCCGTCCACATAGAAGGGAGAATTTACCTGCATCTGAAGCACCTGCTTCATAGAAATAACTTACCATTAAGGGTCAGTTACACCTCTTCCTACAGCAGAGAGTCCCTCTATAATTTCCCTAATGTAGTTCATAGCAGAAGTTTGTTCATTTTAATTGCTGTATAATATTTCATTTTTTGGTTTTCTATATGTATATATGTGTATATACACATGAGTATGTGTATGAGAGAGTGTACTATTGATTGTTATTTGGGGAACATTATGAATAGTGCTGCTATGAACATTTATATCCATTATAACTATTATGTACATTATATACATGTACATACTTTTATATACATATATATCGTATCATGTATGTGTGTGAATCTTTCTCTTGACTGTACACCTGTGAATGGAATTACAGGATAGTAAGGTAAATATATATCGAGCTTTAGTAAACAGTGCCCAACTATTTCCTAAAGTCATGTAAGAATTCAACTTAATACACAGGTTAAAAAAATCTCATTTATTTAAAAAACATTTGCCATTTTAAAGAGTATTTTAATACGCATTTCTCTAATACCACTTGAGGTTGAACACTGTTAATGTTTATGTGATTACTGGCCATTTGTAAATCATATTTAGCAAAGTGACCATGCACGTTTCTGCCTACTTATCTGGTGGTTTGTCTGCCTTTTAAAAATGTGTTTATGAGAGTTATTTATATTCTGGATACCGGGAGTTTGTCTTATATGTAGACATAAAGTATCAAAAAGGGAACCCACTGGGTACACTATGTCTCAGTCAATGAATGGTAATTTATCTATTCTCTCATTTTAAGGCTTGCTTTTCACTGTCTTAACGGTACCTTTTGATGAATGGATGCTGCGGTATGCTGTACCCATGGCTATCACACCCTTGCGTTGAGATTGTGCAGCTACTCATCAGGAGTGGAAATTCTGCTCCTTAACCTCTGAATCTGGGTGTAGGCATGTGACTTGCTTTAGCCAATGGAGCGTTAGTAAACACGATGAAAGGGCAGGTGTGAGACGGGCTTGTACCTTGGAGCTTCCCTCCTCTGGCTGCTGGGAACCCTCCGCCCTCCTGTGAGCAAACCTGGCTGAGCTTTGCGAGGATGAGACACCACGAGGGGTGAGGTCCCAGCTGTCACAGGCCTCCCAGGCGCCTCAGCTGAGATCCCAGACCTGTGTGTGTGAGAAGTCATCTGATCACCCGGCTTCATGCAGCCAGCCGAGATCAGAAGAACTGCTCAATCTACAGAATTACAAAAGATAATACAAGCTTGCTGCTTTAAGCCACTAAGCTTTCGGGTGGTTTATTATGCAGTGAGGTTAACTGATGTGCCAGCCTTTTGTGCCATTACCGTTATTTCACTTCTGTGTTATAAACTACGTACAGTAAGTATCGTCATCATCGCCATCGCCGCCATGATTGTAATCACCACTGGTGTGGTATTAAGCTGTCAGCGTTCTCGATATTTACCCATGTATTTGCCTTTCTAAGTGGCCGTCATTATTTCATGAAGTTCTTGCTTCCGTATGACATTTCTTTCTTCCAGCCTGAAAAATTCCCCTTTGTTATTTCCTGCAGTAGACGTCTGATTCACGTATTCTCAGTTTTGTCTGAAAGCATCTATGTTCGCCTTCCATTTTGAAAATGTTTTAGATTCGCCGTGTTATTCTTTCAGTATTTTAAATATTTCCTTCTAATGTCTTCCAGATTTTATAATTTCTCTTGAAAAGTCAGATATTGGTCTTATTATATTTCCTTTTATGCAATGTGATCTTTTTCATTAATTTGGAAAAGCACAAAGAAAAAAATTACCTATAATATTATCACCTAAAGAAAACCGTATTTGATATTGGTAAACATTTCTCTAGTGTGTTTGTGTGTGTGACTTAATTGTTTATGTATCCAGTAAGAAACATATTGGATATTCTGTTTGGGTCTTTTACCTTTTTTGAGTCAATTATAACAGTTTATCATATTATTCCTCTAAAGCATTTCTAATATTTATACAGTATTCTATTGTCTGACTATAACATATTTTATTTAATTAAATACTTATTTTTGGATATTTAGATTATTTCAATTTTTCATAACTACAAATAATGAGATAGAATTATTTTATATAAACCTTAGTGGATAGTTCATTATTTATAAGGGTAAATACATAAACATTGAATTGATTCTTCTTTTTAATTCTCCCTGTAACTCACTTGTCGGATCTCTGACCTAGGTCACTCCCTTAACTTGCACTTAACTGAATCTGTCATTTCATTATGCACGGGAGCATCTCTAAAAACGTGGGGAGCCTTGTGCAGATAATTGAGCTCTCTTACTTTTATACCAGAGTGAAATGAATATTCAGGACACTATTAGGTGGCAGAGCAAGGACATCTTGTGCCCTAACGGAGTCAACAGAAGAAGACGGGATCAGATTCACCCCTTTGCCTTAGTTAGCAATGTCTTAGCGCTCCGGTGGGCTCTTTACATATAGTAGAAAAGTAAGGATGCAGATTAGGGAGTCTGCCTCCAAAGCTGGGTGTGCTGTCTTATCTGAACACGGGATATGAAATCTTCCTTCTGCACCCTTTTTTTCTATATGGTTAATTCTAGATCTCATAACTCTTCCTAGCCCCTCTATATCTCTTCCTTTGACTCTACCTATCTTTGGCTGGCTTTCTGAAGTTTAACGTCATGAGTGAAGTTAAGGTTTTCTCAATCATTCCTTCTTAATTCAAGCGGATGTCTTCCGTCTGTTGTCTTCAGCCTGAGCAGAAACAGATGGCAACTCAGCAGGAATGCATCAAGGAAGAAGGGCTGCCAAAAAGCCCTGTGACAGTCGTGATGCTGAAAGCAACGAAGCCACTTGAATTTGAGGCCCCAGAAGAGAAGCAAGAGGTGTTTCATGCTACAGTGGCTACTGGGAGTGAATTCTTTTTTTGTAAAGGTTTTCAAAAAAGCTAAAGGAAAAAAAAAAGGTAAAAAATAAATTCACTCCAAAGAAAATAATTATAATATCAAAATATTATTGGCACAGTTGTTCCTGGATGTGAAGAGTGCCTCCCTTGTGTGTGATACTGAATCTGACCACCAGATCAGTGTTGTCCCAAAGCACATTATCAGAAAAGCTGGTGGGAACCTCAAAGTTCAGCAAGCTTCGGACTCGGCCTCTTGGAGCAGTTGTGAATGAGCTATTTGTAGTCCAGAAGGTAAGTTTCTATACAGAATTTTATATTGTTTAGTAAGAATAACTTATTCTCTGATACAAGCTTGGAGAGGCTTTAGAAATTATTCATTTCAAAGTATCTTTATATAGAGAAAAATGAAAACAAATGAACCCCCCCAAACTAAAGAACTACAGAGTGAATGTGTTAAGATGGGAATACATTAAAAGTGTTTTTATTCTCAGGAAGCTGTCACAGTCCTGTTTCAGCTTCCTCTCATCCTAGTGGCTTCTGAAAAAGGGCCTACTTCAGACACAAGTAACGTTTGCCCTCTAGGTTATTTTTGTACTTCGTACACGTGATCCTTATTCTAAGTGACTATTGTTACAAATACAAAATTATTGTCGTTGAGTGATAAACCAGATTAGTTGACTTGGAAGACAGGTAATAGGGCAGAATTAAAGAACTATGATTAAAAGAAGAAAATAGAAGACCGTATGAGGAGACTTACTGGAAGTGAGAAATATTAATGTATTTTGACCCTGAGCCTCAGCAGAACCAGCCTTGTGTGACAACTTCTGGTCTAGGATGAGACCAAGAGCCCCAGAGAGGGAACCTGCTGACACTGCCTCCAGGAGCTTAAGGCTAAACTCTGTTGCCTTGGGGTTAGCTGAAGAGGAACTGACAGGGATACTCTTGTCTTCCTGAAAAATTTAAGCCCAAAATGACCTTGAATAAGAACCATTTTCTTTAGTTCTGAGCTTCCAATCTGGCCAACCGTACACAATTATACACTCAGTGAGCCCATTAAATTAAGCCTAAAATATTATCAATCTTCTCAGTAACCGATCAACACGTCACTCTCTTTTTACCTGGACTTGATTGTGAATTACTTCCTGTCCTTGATTCCTGCAGGAGTGGGAACCTTTTCTTGTCTTTCCTCCGAGGTTCCTTGGTTGCTCTAATCATTAAATTGACGTAAGTCAGATTAACAGGAGAAAAACACATTTAATTTTGTATGTATGGGAGCCCCGTAAAAACTATGAAACTCAAAGACAGCAGGCAGTTGAGGCTTATATATCACCCTGAGCTAAGGAGAAAGAGGTCAGGCTGTGGGGCTTCAAAGGGGAGGAAGGCAGTTCACAGGAGGATGAGAAGAGCAGACGTTTGGTAAACAGGTGTTTGCCGTGCTGTGCGTATGTCTTTGCGACATAAAACGTTACCTTTGATGACAGCTCCCTCTCTGGTACAGACCCCCAATCTAAATTCTTTTAGATGGTTTAGGGAAAAGCAAAATGCTTTTCCTGAGTCTGCTGGGTCTTAATTGCCTTCAGCTCAAAACCTCCATGTCAAAGTGGCACATCTGGGGGTGACTCATTCTGCTCCCCCTCATTCCTAACTCATACTTAGACTCTTTAGTAGGTGTTTGCATCATTTGCTCATGTCTCTCCTGGATTTGTTGTTTTACGTGATTCTCCTCCAACTCTGGGATTTCTTTTCCTTGCTTGTCGTGACTACGGGCCCTACCAATTACTGGCTCACATCGCCACCCTGGCCTTCTAAAGGAAGGGAGTTTGGGACTAGAAAGATGGACATAAGAAGCAATATGTTCTAAGTGAAACATAACTGTCTCCTCTACCTGAATTTGCTAACATCTATTAGCTATATCCCTGCTGGTTTCAAACCTGGATTTTTTCCCCTTGTGTTTCTTTCTGGAGGCTGTTGCTGGCTCTTCTCATGTCTGATTGATGTAACATTCCTTAATGAGATTGTCAAAAGTTGGGCTTTGATTTTATCTTGCAGAAAACAAAACAGAGGAATCATATATAATTTGACCTAAATGACAAGACAAAGGAGGATGAAAGTACTGGTGCTTGGAAAAGAGAACAGAATCCAGGCTGAGGAAGGGGATAAACTTGGCTTAACATTCTTCGAATTGTCAAAAACTGGAAGCAAACTACAGCTGAAACTTGGAGTTCATAGTTTTCATTAATGTGGGAGGAAAGTCAACTCTCCAAAGGGATAATATTTTGTGTTTGCTGTCAGCAAACTGGACGGGTGCCACTGAACAGGATGTGGTGTGGAAGACCCTGGTATTCAGTACACTGACATCTCTCCGAACTTAGGGACCTTCCTTTTAGGAAGTACACATCCCAGGTGCCCAATTAAGAGGACATCGACTTCATATGGCAGAAACAGGCTGCAGTTCCCACACAGCCCCACAGCAGTTCACTGGTAAACTGTAAGTCTAATGCAGACGATTTGCCCAAAGCTGGACAAATTATTCTGAAAGATGGATATAAAAGTAGACACAGACCAGGTATACCTTGAGGACACATTCCTCAAAGTCAACTCAGCCATCCTTGCACCTACCATAATCTGGGGAAACTGAGTCAGGATAAACCCCTACTCCTGTCCTTTCTTCTCTCCCTCATTAGAATGCATCCTCCATGGACAGATGACTGGTATATTTATACAATGGAATACTACTCAGCCATAAAGAAAAATAAGATAACGCCATTTGCAGCAACATGGATGCACCTGCTGATTGCCATTCTAAATGAAATAAGCCAGAAAGAGAAATAAAAATATCATATAATATCACTTTTATGTGGAATCTAAAAAAAAAAAGACAAATGAACTTATTTACAAAACAGAAACAGACTCACAGAAATAGAAAACAAACTTATGGGAGGGTGGGAAGGGATAAATTGGGAGTTTGAGATTTGCAGATACTAACTACTAAATATAAAATAGATAAACAGCAAGTTTCTTCTGTATAGCAGAGGGAGCTATATTCAATATCCTGCAGTATCCTATAATGAACAAGAATATGAAAAGGAATGTATGTATGTATATGTATGACTGTACTACCATGCTGTACACCAGAAACTGACACAACATTGTAAAAAAAAAAAGATCCTGCTGCCACTGCCTGGTTCTCTTCCCCGTGTTGCCTCGCTTTTTGAGAGTGAGGAGGAGACTTGAGACACTGGCATATGTGCCCTTGTTAAGTAGGAGTATATATCTCAGGCCAGATGTTAACTTCAGGAGAGTGATCCAAGAGTGAGCAATGTACTAGGAGGAAGGGAAGAACGTGATTTTATGAGAGGAAAAGAAAGATGCACTTTAGGAAGACACACTGCAAGCAGGGAAGGGGTAACTGATCGTCTGTATCTCAGACTATATGTATATTTTCTCCATCCAGGTCATTAAGACCAACAAATTGAAATAAAAAGGATTGATTCATTTGAAAAATTTATTTGGGTGGGAAGGGCTATGGGGGAACTCTGTATTTTCTACTCCAATTCTGTGTAAACCTGAAACTGCTCTAAAAAAAATAAAGTCTATTAAAAATTTATTTGGCTTTTTTTGAGGGAGAGGAGGTAATTAGGCTCATTTATTTATTTTTCATTCATTATTATTATTTTTAATGGAAGCACTGGGGACTGAACTCAGGACCTCAGGCATGTTAAGCATGTGCTCTACCACTGAGCAATACCCTCCCCAAAAAAGATCAATTTAAATCAACTAGTCTTAAAAAAAAAAAAAAGAAAGAAAGGAAAAAGAGAACACTAATGAATTCATCTACAAAACAGAAACAGACTCACAGGCATAGTAAGCAATTTTATGATTACTGGGGGAAAGAGAGTGGAAAGGGATAAATTTGGGAGTTTGAGATTTGCAAAGGTTAACCACTACATATAAAAACAGATAAACAGACAGTTTTTTTTCTGTATAACACAGGGAACTATATTCAATATCTTGTAATAACCTTTAATGAAAAAGAATATGAAAACATATATATATATATATATATATATATATATATATATGTGACTGGGACATTATGATGTACACCAGAATTTGACATATTGTAACTGACTATACTTCAATTAAAAAATAAATAAATCAAATCTAAACAGCATTTAATTGAAAAATACCTAACGCAGCTCTTCAACCAGATTGTGAGTTACTGGAGAGAGAGCAGCAGAATGCAGACTCCTCTAAACCTCAGCTTAGTCAGGATGGGAGAAGGGATGGATAAACAATTCCAAAATCTCAAGATCTTATCACGATAAAAATTATTTGTCATTCATTGCAGCCCACAGCCAGGCTCAGTCTGGGGTGAGGATAGGGCTCTTCTCTATGTAAATATTCAGGGATATTACAGTTGTTCAATATCTGTTAAGCGAATAAAATGGTTAATGGAAAATATGTGCTATACGTATTTATACAAGTCAATATACGCTAAGCATATAAATAACCAAATTCACAGAAGAACAAATAAGGTCTGTAGCATGAAAAGATTGTCAGCGTCACTCATAATCTGAAAAATAAAGTTAAGTAAAATTTATTTTTTCTTAAGTTTTAAGTGTTCTAGAAGATAACTGATGCTCTCAGAAAGAGGAGTTGGCAATTTTTTTCTGCAAAAGACCCAATAGTATATATTTTAAATTATTTGGGCCCTGTGGTCTCTGTTACAGATGGTTAACCTTGTGCTGGTTACAAAAAGAGCCACGGACAATCTGTTAGGGCAGGCAGAGAGCTAGACAGGAGCAGAGAAAGGAGGATGCAGACCAAATGGCAGGAATTGGGCAGGAAGGAAATCATAGCATCATGTGAGCACCAGGGGTCCTTGGGGAGAGAAAGAAAAGCAGGAAACTCTGCACTGATAAACGATCTCACCTTCTGGGGTGATGAGTGTCCTGGAGGCCAACAAAGAAGAGCAGGAATCTCCAGTGTCCCAATGTAACCTTTTGCTCATTATGCCCTCATTTCAGTAAAACAAGCCTTGCAGATTAGAGGTACCATCATGCACCAGTGCAATGACACTTCCCATCCAGACTAAATAAGGACAAAAGTCCCTCTTCCCTTTGGGAGAGTGGAGTTGGGATGAAAATCAGGGAACATGACCCCAAACCCTTCCCTCCCCAATGAATATTCAGCCTATTCATTTTTACACTCTATGTCACCAACTTACCAAAGAAACTCAGAGCAGCCCCTCACCTGAGCCTGCCCGCTCTCCCCTTGAGAGTGTACTATCCATCCTTTCAAAAATCCTCACTTTACTTTCTTAACCCCTGCGTCTTGTCTCTGAATTCTTTCTGGGATGAGACAAGACCCTGGACACCGGTTACATCTATGGGCAATAAATCCACGAATCAATGAGCAAGTCTGCATTCCAATAAAACTGTATCAAGGACATTGAAATTTGAATTTTATGAAATTTTCCTGTATCACATTCTTTTGAGTTTTTCCCCAAACATTAAAAAAAATGTAAAAACCATTCTTAACTTGTGGGCTACATAAAAACCAGTGGCATGCTGAACAAAAAAAACTAATGGGCTGAACTTGGCCCATTGGCCATAGTTTGCTAATCCTTAGTCTGAAACAAAATTATTGTGTGTTCATAGAATAAGTAAAAATAAAATGTTTGACAACAATAGCACAAAATGTGAGAGGGAGGAATCAGGATACACCACTGGAAAGTCCGTATACAATATGTCAAGCGTCATGATAGTATTTGAAGGTAGATTCTGATTAATTAAAGATGTATATTATAAACTCTAAGACAATGACTAAAAGTATTTTTTAAAGGAATATAAATAATAAGACAATTTTATGATATTGGGGAAAGAATAGGCTTACAGACCCAAGAATGAAAATAGAGAGGCCAGAAATAGGCCCAGACATAGACATTCCATTGATTTTCTACAAAAGTACAAACACAATTCAATGGAGAAAGGGTACGTTTTCAGCAAGCAGTATTGAAACAACTGGATATTTTTATTAAAAAATAATCGTGATTGTGGTGATGGTATCACAGGCATACGCATGTATACAAACTGGTGACAAATGTATTCACTAAGTAGGTCAAATTTTATATCACAAATATACCTCAATAAAGTTGAAAAAAAAGAAAAAATAATGGGTCTGATTTATACCTCAATCTCTATACAAAAATTAACTCAAAATGGGTCATTGACTTAAATGTAAAACCTATAAGTATAAAACTTCTCGAAGAAAACACAAGAGAAAAATCTCTGTGATGTTGATTTAGGCAAAGATTTCTTAGCTATGACACAAAAAGCCAATCTAAATAAGATAAATATTTGATCATTTAAACTTTACCAAAATGAACAGTTGTTTTCAAAAGATGCCTTTAAAGCCTGTTAGGGCAAGCCAGAGTTTGGGACTTAATATTTGCTTGTCACACAGCCACTAAAGATCGTGTACCCATAATTTGTAAAGAAGTCTCAAAACTCAATGTTATGAGAGCAAACATCTGAATTTTTAAGGTGGGCAAAAGAAAAGATACATGGGTGGCAAATAAACACATAAAAGATCCTCAACATGATTTATCTTTAGGGAAATGCAAATTAAAACCATAGTGAAATGCTGCTAGGCACCAATTAGAATGGCTATCTAAAATTTAAAATAACTGATTATACCAAGTGCTGATGAGGAGGAATTAGAAGGGTCGTACAAGGTGGCGGGAAAGTTAAATGGTACACAACTTTGCGAGAGAGTTTGCGCGTTCGTCTTTTAAAGTTAACACACAACTACAGTGCTAAACTCTGAGGCAGATACAGAGCAACTGAAACTCTCACACATTGCTGGTAGGAACGGAAAATGTTGCAGTCACGTTAGGAAACACTATGGCAACTTCTTATATATTTGAACATAAATTTACCCTATGGACCAAGAGTCTCACTCCAAGATTTTTCTTCATTGAAATGATAACACATGTTCACATAAAAATTTGCATGTGAACAGTTGTAGCAGTTTTAGTCATCACTGTGCAAAACTATGAACAATCCAATTTCCCCTCACCTGGGGAATGAATAAGCAAACTTTGGTGTGTCCACACACTGAATTCTACGCAGCAATAAAAAGGAATAAACTGATACACACACTACGTCGATGAATCCTAAATGCAACATACTAAGTGAAAGAGGCCAGACTCAAAATGCTACATACATTTAAAATTCCATTTTAGGGAACTCTGGAAAAGGGAAAAGCTTAAGTTAAGAAACTATGTCAGTGAGTACCCGGAGCTTGGAACTGGAGGGAGAGTTGACAATAAAGTGGCATGAAGGAAATCCTTGTTATGATGAAACTGTTTTAATCATTAAGAAAGTGATCTGACCTCTCTGTTCCTTATTTGTCTCATTAGGAGAGTAAAAAGAAGAGCACGATCAACCCTCTAGAGCTAGTATGAAGATTAAGTGACACAAAATGATTGCAAAGTACCAGGTATCAAATATGTGGTCAATAAATACACTGTGAATTTCAGTATTAGATATCGACTTCCTGCCATTGTAGTCTAAAGTGAATTAGTTACTGTTCGCTGTTTGCCTAATACAAGTCTTTGCCCGGGGCAGCCAGCTCACGGAATCCACAGGAGTGGGATGTGAGGACCAGGAAGTATAGCTGGAGGGCTTCTGAGCTGTTGGTACTTGAGTAAATGAGTGGACCTGGTTATTTCACATCAGACAGGGCTGGAGCTGCTTCCAACATTTGCTAGTGACTTCGTGCCAATCACCAGAAGCTGCCTTATTTGGCAGACAAATCACTCAGTCATGGCTCCTTCAGGAGACCTTTTCTGAAAAGGCATCATTGTTTTGTACTAAAGCAACTCCACCCTAGGACAAGGCTTAGCAACTGAAGCACAGGCTGCATTTCAGCCCATCTGCCTCTCTGCTGGATTTATTTGAGCAGGGCACAGCTTGTTCAACCTGTTCGCTCACGGCTTGTTCAACCTGTTCGCTCTTGACCAGAGCTGTACCCTGTTAAGATCACACCCAAAGTAGAAATCTAAACTTTGCTTGGGGCCCATGTGTCTCTATCTGATTTGCAGGCTACAGACTATTTAAGACTTTAAGTAACAAACCCACTAATCAGCCTCCTAGGGAAGCACATTTTTAGAAAGAAAACATGATGTTAATTATTTTTTCCAATTTAAAGAAGTTATAGGTGCAAAACATGGCATTCAGATGATATAGAAAAATATAAAAAAAGGAAATGAAAGGCACTCCTAACACCCCATTTTTAAGAATTAATAGCTTGTATATATATTGCTGTATTTTAACCACATGCATATATAGCTTTTTTCTTTTTTCCTGGTACCTAGATCTTAGCTTCATAAACATCAATATTAATGGCGCCCGGGTTTTCAGAAGCAGCCTACTGGAAGCTTGGCTGCTGACGTTGCGAGGTGTCCACATGTGAAGCAGGGCTGAGTGGTTGTTACTTGTTTTTCCTGGGCTTGATGACCTGGAAGAAGAAGGAGAGAATGAGAAACCATGAGATGACCCTGATGGTACACTTCTGCCTTCACCCACACCATGTCCCCTGGCTTTGGGCTGCACCCCTTTTCCTTTCCTTTCTAAAACACTCTTCTCTTATTCTCCTCTGTTTCTTCTTTGGAGTCATCGCCACCCTCCCGTTCTTGGCTGGGACCCTGAAATGAGATATGTGCTCATACCCAGCCTGAGTCCAGGTGGGCAGGCAGGAGTCGTCGGAGAACAAGAGAGAGGAAGGAGCCGGTGTTCTCAGTGCTGAGAGCTGAAGGGAAAGTTCTCACTGGGGGGAAAGGTGGAAGAAAGGGGAGAGAGGTACTCCTGGTGCAATGCTGTGAAGGAAGCGTTGGGAATCCCTAATTGAGAACCTGAGGACTGGAAATATCTAAGAGCATGTGCATTTCTGAGTGCCTGGATATGTCAGCCTTTGTATTGGATCTGTTTGCATTCCAGCACAGGCAGATCTCAGAGAGATTGTGGGTTCAGTTTCAGACCACTGCAACAAAGCGAATGTTGCAATAAAATGACAGTGTTTTTTTTTTTTTGCTTGCCCAGTGCACATAAAAGTTATGTTTATGCTATACTGTAGTCTATTAAGTGTGTAGTAGCATTAATGTACATTTCTTAGTCAAGAAATACTTTATTGCTAAGAAATGCTAACCATCACCTGATTCTTTAGTGAGTCAATCTTTTTTTTCTGGTGGAGGGTCTTGACTTGATGTTGATGGCTGCTGACTGATGCCACTGCTTTATCAACTAACTTATGTAATATTCAGAATCCTTTGTTGTCATTTCAAGACTCTTCACAGCATCTTCTCCAAGAGTAGATTCCATCTCAAGAAGCCACGTTCTCTTTGCTCCTCATCCCTTAAAGTTGTATCAATAGACTATAGCAATTCAGCCACAACTTCAGGCTCCACTTCTAATTCTAGTTCTTTTTGCTATTTCTACCACATCTCCAGTTACTACCTCCACTGAAGTCATGAACTTCTCAAAATCATTCAGGAAGGTTGAAATTAACTTCCTTCAAACTCTAGTTCTTGTTGGTATTTTGACTTCCTCCCATGAATTATGAGTGTTTTTGATGATATCTAGAATGGGGAATCCTTTCCAGAAGGTTTTTATTTGATTTTGCTCAGATCCATCAGAAGAATCACTGTCTGTGGCAGCTGTGAAATGTATTTCTGAAATAATAAGACTTGAAAGTTGAAATTACTCCTTGATCCATGGGATGCAAAATGAATGTTGTGCAAGCAGGCATGAAAACAGCATTAATTTCATTGTACATCTCCTTCAGAGCTCTTGGGTGATCAGGTGTGTTGTCAATGAGCAGTAATATTTCAAAAGCAATATGTTTTTCTTCTTGAGCAGTCTCAGGAACAGTGGGCTTAAAATATTCAGTAAATCATGTTGTAGGCAGATGTGCTGTCATCCAGTCTTTATTGTGCCATTTAAAAGAGCACCAGCAAAATAGATTTAGCATAATCCTTAAGGGCCCTAGGATTTCCAGAATGGTAAGTGAGCATTGGCTTCAATTTGAAGTCACCAGCTGCATTAACCCTTAACAAGAGAGTCAACCTATCCTTTGAAGCTTTAAAGCCAGACATTGACTTCTCCTCTCCAGCTATGAAAGCCGTAGATGGCATCTTCTTCCAAGATAAGGCTGCTTCATTCACTAAACTTAATCATTTCTAGTTTTTTGTACTTTTTTTTTTAATGGAGTTACTGGGGATTGAACCCAGGACCTTGTGCATGATAAGCAAGTACTCTACCACTGAGCTATAGCCCACCCCCCTCATTTCTAGCTTTTGATATAACATGAGAGATGTGTGACTCTTCCTTTCATGTGAACACTTAGAGGCCCCTGTAGAGTTATTATTTGGCCTAAGTTCAATATTGTTGTGTCTCAGGGAACAGAGAGGTCCAAGGAGAGGGAGAGAATTGGGGGTAATGGCCAGTCAATGGAGCAGTCAGAACATATACAACATTTATTGATGAAATTCACCATACTACGTGGGTGTGCGGTTCATGGAATCCCAAAATGATTTCAATAGTAACATCAAAGATCACTGATAACAGATCACCATGACAAATACATAAATATTGAAAAAGCTTGAAATATTATGAGAATTGCTAAGTGTAATACAGAGACTCAAAGTGAACAAATACTTGGAAAAATGGTGCCAACAGATTTGCTGTACATGGGATTGTCACAAACCCTCAATTTGTAAAAAACATAGCATCTGTGAAATACAATAAAGTGAAGTACAAGAAAACAAGGTCTACCTTTACAGGCCTTTGTTAGTGTTCCAGAATTCCACATGAATGTGTGTGTGTGTGTGTGTGTGTGTGTGTGAGTGCAGCAAGTCAAACCACCACCGACCACCTCTGTTGTGGACCAGTATGAGTATCTCACCAAAGGCAGGTAACTCTGTGTTCGGAAATGCTCAGGAACATCCTTCATCATTTAGGGCTGGAATGAATTCTGTTAACTGTCCTCTGAGATAAAAGATATTTCCTCCATTCTATAGATAATAAATCAGAGGTCCCTAGGAATTAAGTTATTAGTCAACTAGCAAATCATAGAGCCAGTATTTGAAGCAAATCTGCCTTAATGTCGCCCACATTTACTAAATAATCTCCCTGCTTTGAAAATCCAACCATTTCTATAATATTTATCTTAGATACCATATCCTTTGATAACCTCTCTTTTCTCTCTTTAACAAAATTAAAGATATCGTTCTAAAAAAAAGAATGATGAAAAAAACGTTTACACCCACTAAAGGGCAAGGATTACTTTTTTTTCACCTGTTAGACTCTGTGTAATAGCAGCAGCCTACGTTTCCTAACGTCTTCCTCTTTGGAACCGCCGTGTCCCCCAGAAGGTCTCACCTTGATGTGACTGTGAATGACAGATCTTAATTGCCTTCCCTCCCCTTTTGATGCCAATTCAAAGCAGATGAGTTTAAGTTTGTCGCCTTCCTCACAGAGGATTCTGGTCAGTCTTCCGTACACCAGGACCTCCATAGCTCCTGTACTGTCATGTACTTCATAATATATGCATTCATTCCACACCGTTTTCTGAAAAAAAAAAAAGCCCTTATCATCTGAAAACTGGATCAGGAATTTTCACAACCCTGAAAAATAAAGGGTGTCAGGGGAAACTTTTGTCTCAGGCAGGCTACTATGAGATGGGGGTCCAAAAGTACAGGTACCAAACAGCGTAAGATGTCTTGTTCAGATTATTCTCATACTTAAATCCTCTTTCTACCTTTCCTTGCCTTAGGTCTCTGTGTTAACTTCTAGAAAAATTAATTACTTTCCTAATTTTTCCTGTTTCCACCTCAGAACAGCTGAGATTTCTGAGGAAACTTGGATACAGTGGTCTGATAACCTTTGCTGGTTTCATTGAATCTCCCTGAGAACAGAGAAGGCCATTCATGTCTTATGATGAATCTCAAAAAGATTGTTGCAAATCCTCATTAAGTAGATTGTTATGTCAACGTGTAATTCTTTCTTCTATCTTCTCTAGTCATTCTTCCCTAATCTGCTCAAATCTTGAATCTAGACCATCTAGTCCCATTGTTCTAGTTTCTATCTCACTTATTTTACTCATTAATTCTACAAATGCACATGTGTGCACAGTCACTTAAACAGTGTACCGAAAATGACAGGGGTAACAGTAAAGGGCCACCCTAGAAGATATATATGCAATGGACCCTGAAGCAACACGTCACATGAAAAGTTACGTCAGCTACACGTAGTAGTTCTGTGATGTGCTGGGACTGAAATATCTACCTTAATTCTAAGAATTCACCAAAATTCTACATTTTATTGTCCCTAGTAATAAATTTAGGAACAACATTACTCAATTTCTCTCATGTTTTCAATAACTGTATTTCTCTTATTGGTTAATGCCAAAGTCTTTTGCTCCACAATTTTTTGATGAGAGAATGGGAGGAGATGAGAGCATTGGATGAGATGAGAGCATTCTGGAGTTCAGATGATCAGAATCTTAGCTGACCAGTGATAAGAGCTGGATTCTAGGGCAGAGCAGTCTACTAATTTCTTACTCTGGTTGTTGCAACTGGAATCCAAGCTTGGAAGGGCAACTCTTTATTTACAATTAAGTTAAGCTGTCACTGAAACAGATGGGGCAGATCTCAAAGAAACAAAATCATAAGAGCTCTCTCTCTGTATATATCTATATCTATATGTAGATAGATAGATAGATAGATAGATAGATAGATAGATAGATAGATAGATAGATAGATAGAAAGAAAGAAATTCTGCACTGTTTTGTACCAGGGTTGCACGAATGGATCAGCACAGCTGATAAAAATGCCATGATTTCTGGTGAATCACTATCTAAAGAACTTGCATGGTGTTACCTTGGGAAGAAGAATCTTTCCTAAATTCTGAAGTGAGGAAACTCCACCCAGCAATCCGCAGTCAGCAGGGTTTTGAGTTGTTGTGTTTACGAAGTTAGTCAAATACATTTGGCAGCTAAGATGTTTAAAGTCTAGGGTTACAGAAGAAATATTGCAAAACAATGGTGTGGGCTTACCTTGTGCACCTGAAACACCCCATTCACAAATGTTCCTGGAACTTGCAAGTGGAGATGACTGATTTTAGGAGTTGCATTTGCCTTTCTAATCAGGCTCTGAGGGATTTCCATCTTTCGGTCAGCATTAACATCGGACACAGATAAGGTATGGAATATCTCCAGGAACCCATTGCGGCCAACATAATCCGATATGGCAATAATTTTCTTTGGGATGAACTTCTCCTTCAGGGCAACATGATAAACTTTCACTTGGAAGAATTCGCTCTCAGTAGCCACTGTGGCATGAAACATCTCTCTGTTGCCTTCTCTGACATCATATATAAATGGTTCTGTTGCATTCAGCACCATCACTTCTTTGGGGCCCCTTTGGAAGCCCTCCTCTCTGGAAGCTTCTTTAGGAACAGCCTTCAACTTTGGTTTCTACTTAGAAGGACACACGAAGTACAGGTGCAATTAAGAAAGGGAACACAAATTCATCCTCTAATATGATCTCAGGTTTAATATTAAGGCTTAACAAATTACATAATTGGGTGGAGTTGGAAAAAAAAACTAGACAAAGATCACTGACACAGTATAATTAATCTAGTGGAAGAAATAGAGAAGATTTAAACAGTGATTTTTCTTCTTTTTTTCATTATTTTATGACTATAGTAGAAAGGATATTTTTCTTTAAAAACTATTAACCCAAGGAAAAAAGTATTTCTCCTAGGAAGTGCCATGTGGAGTACAGAGGCAGTGGATGATAACAATGCTTCTGCGTAGTGATTCCTAACAGACAGGAGGATGAAAAATAATCTTAAATTACCCTATCATTTTAGTGAGCATGATAAGATATAAATAGGGAAAAAATAAATCACCCTTGATAGCATTAAGAGTAGGGATTGTCTCT